TTAAGATTGGAGTTAATCAAAAATTATGATTTATGAAATAAACTTTTACTTCCCTTTTTGCAGAGCTATTAAATATTTGTAAACTGCATTTAAAATGACAATGTGAAATTATTTGATTGATTTTATTTATGAACGAAAAAGCTAAATTGATTATTTCAGATAACAATGAACGGTCCAATGCTAAATTTTATCATGTTAGTGTAACAATTTTTTAAATTATGAAATTGCTAAATGATTGTACTGCTTCAATTTTCACCAATATTTTCAATTATTGAAAAATATTATTGAAAAATTGAATCAGTTAAAATATGAAATGAGGAGTTTTCATGAAAGGGTTATGATAACAGAGGCTACTTCAGATTTTGTACTTTATCGGAAATCATTTCTGCAATTACTTTCAGTTCATTCAACAGTAATACGGCAGGAGCGAATGTTAGTCTTAATTTTTAATTTTATAAATAATTTTCTAATTAAAGCAATATTGTTGCATAAATTTTCAAAGTCGTTCAGTCATTATTGTCGAATAAATAACTACAACTTTCTAATTGGACTCTAATTAATACCAGCTAAACATGGATAAATTTGCAGTCATTGAATAGCAATGCAAACATATTCCGCGGTGGCGCTGCTGGTGGCACCAGCCAACCGAACCTTCTCGGTTTTTTGCGGAACCAATTTGGCGGATTTGGTTTCGGCAATACATTTTCCCCATTTGGCCGTGGCTTTGGATTTTTCCCATTTGGCCGTGGCTTTGGATTTCCCCCATTTGGCCGTGGCTTTGGAATTTCCCCATTTGGCCGTGGCTTTGGATTTCCCCCATTTCGCCGTCGCTTTGGACGAAAATAACTGTGAGATAACTTCTTTCATAAAAGAAAAAAATCAAAAAAATTTTGAAATGAATTACTGTTGCTAATATCGTTATAAACTACAAATTATAATTTGAGGTATTTATGATGACTAAGATTCGAGAATTAAAATATGAAATTATTCATTTCATAAATCATTTGAAAATTCCATAAAGTATTGAGGAAATGAATTATATATACATGTGAAAAAAAATTCAAAAAAGAAAAAAAAATCATATCAAAACAACAAATGCAAATTCAAAATGGAATCAGTAACTCTTGTAAGTAATTTATTAGAAAATTATTAAATTTTTGTAATTTAGCTCCCTCAAATTATAATTACTAGTTTTTGATAACAATTATTGTTCTATTGGTATTTAGAACAGTTAATTCAATGCTAATTCATCATCGTACGTTTTATTCGAATTGATATTTAAGGTTAATATTAGTCTTAATAATTAATGATTTCATAATTAATTTTTTGTCTTTCCATCTTTGTTTCATTGAACATTGGCTATTTTTGGTGTTTAACAAAAATTTAAAAAAAAAATGGTGTATGTCCAATGCGCATAAATGATTGCCTTTGAGATTTAAAAGGTGATAACAAATTTTTTTTGCTCATTATTAATATAATGATGAGGAAAATTGATTGATCAATATGACACTTGCAGGATGATCACTCATTTATATGTCAACTGGACTTGTCTAAAAATCAGAAAATTATTCGTAATCCATAAATTCAGAATA